TAGTACACACCTCTTAAACTCTACAGAGTTGACAAGGGCCACCAGCTTTACTAATTTCCAGACATAACATATTTCAGAAGCAAAGAGTAATAGAGCAGTTAGAAGGCAGGAACCACATCTCAAAACAGTTAATGTATTAAAATGTGTAACAATCCTGTTGCTGTCAGCATCTCAAGCTTCCCAAAATACATATTAACGGAGCTATAAAAGTTTCTAATTAGACGATCTAACAATCCTTTATATAACTTTACATTTTTTAGATGACTACAATGTAGTGGAGCACAGGAAACGCCTTTTTTTGGTGGTGCGGGGGAAGAAACCTGTATAGTATTTTAGTATTTTAGAGAGCAAGAGGAAAAAACAGCAGTAAATCATCCAGCACCTGCAATAACTAGATAAGAGAACAACAATTAATCCTTGGTATTAAAATATTTTGCCTTTCAGAAAAAAGCATGAGAACAACTTTGATAACCAAAATTAAGGAAGTTTACCACATGCCAAAACAAGTTTACCACAAAATATCATCTGAATCCAATTACTTCTCATGTCATATAACATTGCCCAGGGCATGAACAAGGCTCCCTTTCTGATGTTGTCTCAGTTTTTCTTTTCAGCACGCATAAATGAATATTTCCAAAACCTCTCTACTTTACTTTTCTTTTCTAGCTTTTCCACAATCCCTTCCCTCAAATCAAAACCTCTCACAAGCAGGAATGTGGATCCCTATGCAGGAAACAGATGCTGATTGACTGTAGACTTGTTCTTCTTAATTATCTCTCATATATGTTTAAAAGCAGTCCTGCTCCTATGGCTCCACGGATCACAGGTGGGAACCTCCCCTGTACATTTTCTCTGAGGAGTTTTCTATCTTCTGGTTGGACCCATTCGTAATTTCTGGTTTACCAAATTTTCCAGATAGGTCTTCATTTTTCCTCCCAACCCTCCCAGAACATGAGACCAGAAGAGCTTTAGGCATCAGTCCAAGATTTCCAGAGGCCCCACAGCCTGGCCAGCATGCCAACAATCTGTGTGCACACAGTAAGGACATCTGATGCACTTGGAATGTGTGGAACTCACTGCATAGGCAATATGGAACACATATGCACATATTTCCACCCTAAATCCTACATAATGCACCCCTGATATTTTCCTCACTTTTTTTCCTGCATGAAGTCAAATGGAGTTGTTGAAACTCTGACAGATCCCAGCATTCATTATAAATTCATTCCCTCTGATACACCAAATATTTTCCTGTGACATTTGCTTTCAAAGGCATTTTGATGTCTGCTTATACCTTTTACATGTTTCCAGCTTCCATAACCACATGTTAGTCTGGAAATAGAATGAGGTGACAGTGCTGTGAATTATGGTTTCCGTACACCTCAATTTTGTTCAGGTTGGTAAATGCAGTTGCCACATGGCCATTTCTGACATTCCCACTGACTTATAATTTGGACAAGTATGGAAAGGTAACTAAGCAATAGAGATTTCTCGGGTTTCCAGATTTATTTTTTCACAATAAATAATCCCATCCTTTTTTGGATAGTGTTTTAGCCTTGCTTAATGGATGGTTGAATGATCACTCTAAAGAACTCTTTTGTTAACAAAATCCAAATCATCTAAAATACTATATAAGTCATCTGATGCCATTTATCAAATATACTGTTGCTTTAATTAAGGCAAGTGGTAAAGACAGGTAAGATACATGCTCATTTGATAGCACTGATAACTATACAAGCTGCAACTTGATACAAACAGGTCTTAATTATGTTATTTTCTTGATAGGCTACAAGATGCCCCAGAATGAATCATATTGGAGACTGCCACATGCTTTCTTAAAAAACTATGATGAAAAAGACTTTCTACTACTTGCTTTACCTACTAAAACATTTTTTCTAATCTGATGTTCCCAGAGTAAAAAACACCATCTAATTAACGTCTCCTTTCAAGCTGAAAGCCAGATTACTGTTTCCTTCATTTTACCACAGTAATTTTTTTTCTTTAAAAGGGCAGAAAACTTTGCCCATACATGAAAGCAGCACTGTACCTTGCCACTTACTTCAACCTTGTTTATTTAGTATTTTGAGCATAAGGGCATTTTCCATTGTGCTGGAGACTTTCTAGTTCGGTAATTTTATTAACGCTTCCATGATATCAAGCATTTTACATTTTCACCGTTACTTAGTTTCACCTGAAGCTTCTTCAGGTTACTTTTATTTGCAGGTTTTACTTCTTTGATAGAGTATTGGGATCTGACGATCACAAAGAAACAGATTCTGGTTTTAAATTATGGTGCTGAAAATGCAGAAAACATCCACAGGCTACAATGTATTTAGTATGGAACAGAGTGATCTTTGACTTCTACACCACCATTTTCCCAATTTACATTCATTTGGTAAGTTAGTTGTAACGATGTAGCAGATATATATGAAACTTTACTAACAAGTAGGGTTTACATTTTAAACATTCACAGTTCAGGAAACTAAACATTATTCCCCATAAAACCCTATCATGGGCTTTTCACTATGCTTTTAATATGCAGAAAGCAAAAGCTATTTCTGTTTTTAGCAATAGTATTTTCCTGACTCCTTCTGTACCTCCTTAAAACATGATCTTATATATGTGATGAACAACTACCAGTTCTGCAAAGAAATAAATGAAAAGTAGAATAATTCATTAGTATGAAGGGACAAACTAAATAAGGGAAAAAATGTCACTGAAAAACTACCCCTAAAATAATGAAATATGCTTATATATTGTTTTGTGTAATACACAGTTCTTTCTAAACATTCTATATTTAGTTTAATATTACCCCGAAGTTATTTTGAATACACTGCTAATAATTAAATTATATATGAAACTAAGCTAGAGAGTATTAGATACAAGATACAGAAAAAAAACCATTTAAAATCACGACAAAGTCAGTAAAAACCTACGCAAACATCTGAATTACCTAGCAACTATTAAACACTGTTCAGCATGTTGCAGAAGAGTACAGATAACAATGCATTCCTAATAAAGTCAAAGAAAAATATTTCTCACCATGACAAAATTGGAAGAGAATAGACTAAAGCTGCCATGACATTGCTTTTAGCCTTATTTTATTGATACTTACTAATTAAAAGTTATATATTATCTAAAAAGGCATAAGAAAATAGCTATGGAAAAAAGCAGCTGTACTAAATAACCTGTCATTTTTTTTCATAATGTGCTATATCTAATCACCTTTATTCTAAATTATTATTTCCAACTGAAGTGCAGTTAAATGAGAATTTTATATAATTTATGAGTTATTATTAAAAGCAATACACTAGAACTCCTAAGAATTGTGTAATATTAAGAGATGTTAAAATTATATTTCTTGCACAGAGATTTAAGAGAAAGCTTTAAGAGTTGCGTCCTTTGACAAAAATATTAGCATTCAAGTTAAACTGCCACTAGCATGCTTAGCTCACAAGATGGTCTTTTTAAGTGCACATAAAGTTAGAAGCAAAACACAAGTCTGGACTCATGAAACCGCATAAATGTCACCACTATCATTTTGTTACTCACTTCTTCCCTTTACTTTAAAGCTAAACATAGGCCACCTCCATGTCCCCTCACTCTTTTCTATTCAGTCACATGCTCCTCTAATCCTTCAGTCAGCCTACAAATCTCAACTTGGAACTTTCCGGTTTTCATTTCTGTATTTTTTATTTTGCTGCCCAAACTGTTTTGAGTGCCCCTCAGCACTCACATGGCATGCCAGGTACTACGTAACCATTCACAACCCCTCCTGGGGAATCTTGTATCACTGGTGTGATACAAGAAATAAAAGCCTCAGGAATAATAAACTACTAGCAAATCAGATTTCTCTGAAGTAGCATCATCCCCTAAAGTTCCGTAGGGACTCCTCATCTGTGTTTTAGTATAGACTACAGATCCCTCAGGGCAAGAACCAAGTTATTTATGACATAATTAAGCAAACAACAGCATTATACTAACTCATTCTTCAAAGAGATATCCTGAGATAATGGTACATATCACTCACCTAAATCTCCAAACAATATGCTATCTATCAAAAACAGGCAATTGTCAGTTGAGGTAACTTCCCAGTACCACACACTCAGTGCAGGTCACTCAGTAATCTGGTGCACTCAAATCAGTGTTTTCCGCTATCAACAGGCAATTTAAGCACCTAATTAACAGGTGTTTAAGGCAATCCTTTTGGTGTTTTCTTTAAACACTTCTGGCAACTGTTTTAACTCACTACAGGGTGCAGCAAGCACAGACTTAGTAGTTAGCAGCCCAGTTTGCATGGTGGCAGAAGCGAAGCAGGCCCTAAGAGTCTGCTTCAGACAGAATGGGATTGTGCCACTACCATGCAGGAGGCAGGGGCACTACAAGGCTCCATCCCCAGCACTCACTGGAGAAGATACCCTGAGATGGCTCCGTCTCAGCTGAGGCAGAGTTCCAGAGGGAGCGTGCTGCCATGCAAGACTCAGTCTGCAGGATGACACTGGCATCACAGTGGGAGATACACTGGCTGGGGCACTGAGACACCAGCAAAAGGAGCAGTGAGAGGAGGTGAACAGACTGGGAAGGTTTCAGCACTGCAATATAAGAAAGATATTAAGCTATTAGAGAGCCTCCAAAGGAGGACAACAAAGAACCTAGAATTCCCTAGAAGAATGCCACTTTAACAGCCACAGCTCTTTCCCTTTTGAAGGTTTATAAGATTACGAGATTTCTGAGCCATATCAAGAACACATACAAACCAATGCAAAGGATATTTCTGTTTTAAAAATAAAACCAACAATACATTTAAAATGTCCAGCTCGTATTGAAAAATAAAAGCACAGTCCTCAGAAAGTTTCAGTCTGAAGTAATCTTTTATGGATTGGCTAATACTCCATCTGCTGCTACTTCAGGAAAAAAAAAAACTAGATAGTCAGCTGAATCTCGTATCTGTTGTAAGGCCACCATCCTTTACAAAACTTGCAGGCAACAGGACAGCTTACCAATGGCTTTTGTGTAATGTCTGGCTCCAAGTAACAGCTCTGGAGCTCTGTACCAGAATGTCACCACAACTGGATCCAAGTCTGCCAATGGCTTCAAAGGCGAGTTAAACAATCTTGCAAAACCCATATCAGCTGGGGAATGGGGAGAAAAAATAGAAGAGAATATTTATTTAAATTTTAATACAAAGAAAACAATATTTAACAGTATTGCCAAAAACAATTATAACAAAAGCTTAAAAACATTAAAAGTTACAAATCAAAGTTTCTAACAAAGCACAATTACTCATAATAATACTGAGCCAAATTTATCTAAGACTAAATTCCATTTACTTCGTTCATAAGACTATGAAGGATAATGTTTGACTTCAGTGTTTTCACCATGGGATTGTAAAACTTCACACAACACAGACACCTGTTTATTTTTTAAAAAAACTCCAACAGAAACTTGGTTAACTAAAGGCAATAGTGGTAGGTCTCTAATGTACATTTTTTTAACAGTAATTTACAAAACTGTGAGTCTTTGTGGCTGCTATGTATTTACCCAAAGTGCAAAACCAAAATGACTACAGTGTAGATTGTTTTGAACTATTTTTCAAGGCATGCCTCCTACTTGATTTGGAGGAATGAACTCCAGAATCAGTCAGTATATACTGTTACGGAGGTGTATTTTAAAAGTAAGCACTGATATATAACTCAAAAATTCTCTCTAGAGTCTTGTAACAGTAAGAAATGCTCAATGGGAAAGTACAAAATTGGGCATATCATCAAACCCACACATTTTAAATCCAATTTAAATCTGCAACTTATCTTTTATACCACTTCACTTAAATCTTTCTGCTTCCAAAGTTATGAAATGCCAAGTATAATTTTCTTGCTGTTGCCCATACAAATACAAGCATATAAATCAATAATTATTAGCTGAATGTTTTCAAACACAAGAAAATTGATGAATGCAGAGTCCAATATGAAAAACTAATGAAGATCTCTTTCTGTCTTACACTGAAGATCTGGTTTTTTAAAGTAACCCCTTAGCTATGCAATGAAATTTTCTAAAAATGTTTACCTATTTTAACTCTTCCTCTTTCAGGGCCTTCACCCATTACCAGAATGTTTGCTGGTTTCTGGAAAACAAAAAATCAGAATTTTTAGTTGATCAGCCTTTGGTGATTATCTTCAAGAAGAATAAAAATATGTACGTTCATTTTATAACTAAAACATTTCTAGAAATATCCTTAGAAGTCTAAGATTACCATACCTTTATGTTTTGCTGACATTTAGTTATTATCCCTAGTTACCAATTTCACAATTAGAAAAACAGAAAACTACTTTGACATTTCACTGTAGGAAATGCAATCTTTAACTACATTTGCATTCCTATTGTTACCAGAATGATTAAGTTCAGTGGAAAGATTTTCTTCTACAGGAAGCAGTTTTATGCTACACATCAATAACCTAGCAAAACCCACTTTTGCTAGTATAACTTACTGAAAGTGATGCCAAATCTTGGTATGCAAATGAGTATGCATCAATGAGTGTCAGTTTTATTATCATCATATATAACTCAATTTTTAGAGCTGTGTTTGTTTTTAGAGTATGAAAGAAAAAAATCACATTGGCAAAGGAACTTTTTCCACGAAGTTGATTTCATGCTTGAAAATTCACTTAAAACAGGAATGTACACAGACAGCTACGTCCACAAGCTTTTGACAGTGTAGACAGCAGCTTTGCAAGTAGAACAAAAGCTTTATAGACATTTTTTGCAATCCGTAGTTGTTTGCAACCAGCTGCTAGTGAACACCACATAAAATCTGCACATGACATCACAGCAATTGTTCTGCTATTAGAATCTAGGTTCCCTCAGACATCAATAATCATTCCTTGGAAACTTTTCCCCTATTGTGTTAACAGCTGTAAAAAAGTAAACAAGATTGAAAACATAAAGTGATTTGAATGAAGAGATGCATAACAAACTTTCATAGCAGAATTTTTGGGAAGTTAATCCCAACAATAATTGTATTTAAAATCCCTAATGCCCAGAGAGGTCCGCTCAAGCAGGATTTGTCCAAGAATATGAAAGAGATGCCCAGAAAGCCACCACCAAATTTTCACTTAAATTCTCAGTGCCTTGCCACTATTTACCTGAAATGAGACACTCAAACTAGGGTTACTAATTCTGCTCAATATTACAAACCTTTAGCTTTTTTGAAAAAGCAAACCGACCACCACCAACAACAAAAAAAGCACCCTACCTATTCTTTCTCTTTCCCTGGGACGCTGTTTTCACTTCTCACCTCACATCCAGTGCTAGACATTGCTTCTTCCCTGGCTCCAACCACAACCTCTCTTTCCAGATGCCATTGCCTCTTTTATGAATTCTTTTTTAATCTGTAATTGTCAACGCCATCCCTGACTTTTCATTCCCCAACATATATTTGGAACCATTCAAGAGGCAATATGCACTCCCTTCTTGGAGAACACAAGAGCTATTTCAATCGATCTTGAGCAAACACTCACTGGCAAATCTAGGGAAGATAAAAATTATGCTTGCTCTTAGCTAATATTTAAGGATAATAAACTCAACCCCTCAAGGCGGCTGTCAAACTCCGGTTGTACATTTATGTATTACGCTGAATTGAATATTCCAGAGAACAAAACAATCCGATTCTGCATATTCAACAATCAGGTAGCAAGGGAAGCATGCAAGTTCAAGCAAGAGAGCAAGATTCCAGTTTCCTTGCCAGAATTCTTCCTAAATTTTTGCCTAAAGAGTTGAGTATGACGAGTTTGCTGGACCGATAGGCTGAGGGCAATGGTATGAGGTTCAGCGACGCAAAGTGTTGTGTCCTGGCCTTGGCCCACAACAACCCCACGCTGCACTACAGGCTGGGGGAAAGAGTGGCTGGAAAGCTGCAGCTGCAGGCGTTAGAACAGGCTGCCCAGGGAACTGATGGAATCACCATCCCTGGAAGCATTCAAAAAACGTGGATTTGGCACTTGAAGACATGGTTTAGTGGTAGACATGGGGGTGAGAGGTTTATGGTTGGACTTAATCTTAGAAGTTTTTTCAACCTTAATGACTCTGTGATTCTATGAATCACAAATCACTTCAATAGACCTTTATATTCAGGATTGGATTATGCGCTATAAAAATGCATTTATTTGTCAAGTGAAGAAAGCTGATAAAAATGTAGTTACTGCACTGATTTACAGGTCAGGGTTTTTTCTAATTAGGTTGTAAGAAATAAACATTATAACACCAGGAGATTTACCAAGATAAAAATCAAAATCTAAGCATAAACAACAGGATTCTCAAAACATCTCACAAGAGTTACATTTTATCTGTGGCAATACAAGATTTTCCAAGTAGCAATTTTTTCATAGAAAAAAACTCCAACTATTTTATCTGCTGACATAATCCACAATATTCACAGAATAGCTGAGGTTGGAAAGGGCCTCTGGAGATCATCAAGTCCAATCCCCCTGCTTTTAGCAGGGTCAACTACACAGATTGGTCAGGCCTGAGCCCAGATGAGTTTTAATCTTTTCCAGGGATGGAGACTCCACAGCCTCTCTCTAAAACTTCCAGTGTTTTACCACCCTCACAGTAAAAAAAGGCTGGTCACACACTACATTTATGCCCACTGCTGCCTGTCCTGCCACTGGATAGCATTGCGAAGAGTCTGGTTTGGTTTTCTTTATTCACACTTACCAGGTATGTATATGCATTGGTAAGATCCCACACAAGCCTACCCTTCTTGAGGCTGAACAGTCCCAGCTCTCTCAGCCTTAGAAAGACTCCCCAAACCCCTAAATGACTTAGTGGCCCCACACATACAGGAGATACACTAGGTTAGATCTGAACTATGGAAGCAAGGGACTTGTCCATTTATGTAATTTTTAAAGCCAGAATGTTTTGAAGAGATGTTGTTCTGTTTAAAATGTAAATCTGTACTAATGTGTAATCCACCTAGGACCAGAACCCCACTTGGGCAGCCAGCAGAGAAGTAAGCTGATTTATAAACTTATCATAGTCATGTTGATTAGCTCTTGTGAACCTCTGTATCTGAGAGAGTCAGGGGAAACAGAGAAGGAATAAACTGGGAAACAACTGAAAACTTATTTCCAAAAGAACAAGCACTTCTCCTGAGGCACCACCATCAATGTGGAGATGACAGGCACTTCATGGACGGCAATCTGATGCCTGCAGGATCCCACTGATCTGCAGATCACTCTCTCAGTAGCAGCTTGAGTTCCTCTTGTTAATCAGAGCTATTATGGCTAGGAAAGCATTTTCAGTGCATGTACACTGAACCAGTCAAAGAGTAACACTGAGCTGATAGGGCTCATCTTTCTGAGATACAACATATGATATCCAGCTCCTGTGCCCATGAATTTTTATTTAATAAAAATATACAGCTTCAGAGGAGCTTAAAACGTAGTGACTTGAACACTGTAAAGTAAAACTCCTCACCTCCCCAGAGTCTTGACAATGCACATGCCGTGCTGAGAGTAACACAACTCATATGGAGCAGCAGTGCTTGGGTAAAAAAGTGGCACCAAGGCAGAGTAGTAGAACTTCAGGTGCTCAGGTATGGAGCAAAGACTTTAGTTTATTTCAGAGAGATTAATCTGGCATCAGAGATCCTCAGGAAAGTATGTTATGAACGTTCCATCGTGACATCAGAGATTGGACTGCTTAAGGGGAATGCAAACAACTTCTTGAAGAAGGTAGAATGTGTTAGCCTAATCTCTGTATACATAGCATTTTAAATATCAAAACATTTTACTCCAAAATAGTAATTTAATAGTCTACTATAAAGCTACAGTCTAGTATACTGTAGTTACTGGACAGCTGCAAAAAATCGGGTTCAAAAACCAGGAATTAAAAAGCCCCATATCTCATGTTTGTTCTGGCTACATACAAGTCATAAGCAGCAGTCTAGTTCCTAAACAAATCCTACTGCTATCCATGTGAGGAATAAAACAAGTTTTAGGTGGAAGAAAACATGAAGAACCAAGCAGCAGCAAGGAGACCAAAGCTCGACACATACTTAGAGTAAATCATGTCTCCATCTGATAATTTTAATAAAGAAAGTTTGAGAAGCCCTGCTTAAAATTATTAACTAACTCCTTAGAGTAAAAGGTGAGGTAACTCAACAAGGACTACACTTTCAACTGGTTACATCCCAATTAATACTCTCTCTATTTTCCTCATACTCTCCCCCTTGCTGAGAACACAAACACCAGCTGGGAAGCAAAGTGATGCTGCTGCATCTCCACCTATCTAGTTGCTATAGGAACAACAGAAACAGTAAGAGTTATGAGTCTCACACTTAATGTAAGCTATAAAAATGAACAAATCTCTGCTGAGAAATACAGTTGAGGTTTGACTGTCTATAGAACAGCTGCAAAAAGAGCAAGGTCAGCAGCAACAAACAACTGCAGCAAAAATCTGAAAATTCTGCAAAAAGGGATGATGATGATTTAATAGGTTCTTTACAAGTAATAAGCATGGATAATAGTATTTACTTTTCTACACTGGTTGGAGAGAGGTAATAAAGCAATTGAAATCTTAAAAAATATCTTGGTGGGAGAGAAATTAAAATATTGGGCTAAGAAGTGTGTTTCACAAATAATAGAAGTGTCATGACCGGAACTCGTACAGACAGCCATGTTATCTGAATCAATATGCTTCCTATTTTAATATTTAGGCAGTAAATTAGAAGAAAGGTTGAAAGAAAAGAAACCATCTATGGTCTTAAAAGAGCATAACAGGTCAAACCAGGAATAACAGCCTAACAATAGGTTGCAATACTTTAGTTGTAATGGTTGTTATCTCTTTAAGTACAGCGGTGACACAATTCTTAAGAGATTTGGTGCAGAATTACAGTCCTGTAAGAAAACGTCCATAGGGATACACTACTTTCCATACACTATTCTTTATTGTTTATATCCAAACAAATGTGTTTTCCTTTTGGAATGTATCACTGGACAAAGAATAATCTGAAATTAGGAGGCTTCTATTGTAAAAGAGATTGCAAGTCTTCCAGATAAAAGCTTTCCCCACAATTACAGAAACTGCCTTGTGATGAGGTCTTTTCAAGTCTCCATTATTTAAAAA